GTGCAGATGCCAACTTTTCCTGACAACAAAATTCATCAATTGCAAAAAGAGTGGTGTGCATATCTGTGCCATAGATATTTAAAGGAGACATTAAGCACAATAGATTATTAGTGTTTTTTTACAATATTTAGACAGTTTTGTTTCAAAGCATTAGGCAAAAAGTCTAAATATGATATTATTTTTCTCCTGTCAATGTAAACTCTGATTGTAATTTGTACATGTTCATTGTAATTGAATAATATAATGTGCAATTGCTTTTAAATTCTAGTATATATGGCTCTGTTTGAATTTTATATTCTGATTGAACTGGTTCTGAATATTGTATGCTTTACAGGTATGCTAAAAATAGACATTATAACAGTTTTATTAAAATATTTTAAAAAAATTCTTAACTTTGGAGAGTGGTTAATCAACAACCGCTCTCTTTAGTCTACCTTCTAAAACCGGTTCATCTATAACCGCACTCCAAATTAATGAATAATGGAGAGTGATTACGCGGTTAACCGCTCTCTTTAGTGAACTTCTGAGAGCAGTTAACCGCGAAATCGCTCTCCAAAACATACATTTGCGAGCGGTTAATTAACTGCTCTCAAAAATTATTGACGTTGCATAGCGCGGATTTTATAGCACTTATAACCACTCTCTATGTTCAAACGGAACTGCTCTAAGATCTCATTTCTGGCATAGTGTATTCCGAATGAACCTGTCCAACTATGAGGAACAAATTCTCAATTGAGTTTTTATTTTTACAATTGCGTTTGGTTTCCAAGAAAATCAAGAAGCGAGGGCTTACTTTTCTTGAGAACTTTTTCTGAGGTGGAAATGATCTTGGAATCGTGATTTGATCTTGGCGGAAGAACTCCATGGTCCCGCATCCATGGTTGAAGAAGGTTAACAACAAAACCTTGAAAAAGAGAAATGAATTAATGGAGAGAAAGAATAATGGAAATAGAGAAAATAGAGAGAGAAGAATGTTAACGGTGGTGTGCGTTGATGGTTGGTTTGGAGTCTCAGTCTCAGAACTCAAAGATCAGAGAATCGAAAGAGAGAGAGAAGCATATGAGCCACCGGAGAAGCAAAAGAAGAATGCAGTATACTAGTATTTCAAATCCCGTGCGCACAGGTTATATAATTTATAAAAATATATTTTTATTTTAAAATAAAGTTTAATTGTAAAATAATTTTAATATTTTTAATTAAAAATGAAAATAATTAATAACTATCATTTTGATAATTTATATTAAATGTGAATTTAATAAAAACCTTATAAATTTATTATTATGTTTATTTTTTTGAGATGCTTATTAATATAACTAAATATAAATTTTGGTTACTTTTCTCTTCTTTCATTTGTTTAGTTTGAATGTTAGCCTTTAGTTTTTTTAAAAGATATTTAATTATTGAGTTTTGTTAATATAAGTGAGGGTCGAAGATAAGCAGCTAATAATATTAAAATTTTATTAAAAAGAGAAGTATTTATTATAATTTTATAATTTCAATACAATAATTATATGCTTTTTTATAAAAAAAATTTCTATTTGTAAATGCTTAAATTTAATCTTAAAAATAAAAATTAACAAAATTCTTAATTATTTATTAAATAATTAAATATATCTTAATTATCAACATAAAAAATATTTACAAAAGTAACACAAACTATATTTTTTCAAGGTAAAATTATAAAAATGTATATAGTTAAAATTATAAAAATGTATATAGTTGACTAGTGAGGATCACATTTTGGTTACTACATTAAAATTCATATTTTATAAATTTTTGTTTTAATTAAAAATTAACTTTGTAAATAAATATATTTGGATAAAGTGTCTTGTGAAATTAAATGTACAAATATTCACTTGAATTTCTTATCAGAACTATACATTTTTCTATATTTTTATTTGATGTGCATCGTTGTGCCTTTATTTGACATGTTTATAATTAATAGTTATTATATAAGAAAATTGCATCCATGCTTTATATTTAGGATGGAAACAGGCGGCCTTTATTTGACATCCATGCTTTATATAATTATATTATCTTAAGATACCTAATCTTTTAATCCCTATTAGATTTTTAACTTTCATTTTATTTTTAAGACTTTTTATTTGATTTATTTAATTGGTCATTTCAACAAATAATAATATGTGAGGGCATGTAGTAAAAGGACCCAATTTTAAGATAGACATTAATAATGATATAGTGACTTACTAATATCAAAATGGTTGCTGAGGTTAATAATACCGTATAAAGGCTTCAAAATCTCTAAAAACAGAGAAGTCTAACATTTAAATTTGAAGTTTTACTAATGATGTACTAAGAAAGATGTATATATAGCTAAGGGTATTTGCTTTTGGAAGCCTTTTGTCGATACAATCAAATATTAAAAAAAACCACGCTAGGATTTTAAAACAATTCAGTCCTACTAAAATATATAATTACGTAACAAATGTGTTGAAAAGATATAATTATCAAGAAGTTGTTGCAAACAGTGGTGAAACAAAAAGAGATATAGATGAACAAGGTAACAGTAGAAAAGAAAGTTAAAACAAATCACAGCTACAAACCAAGGATCGCAACTCAAGAAACAAAACAAAAAATCTAATGGAAGTAAAGATGATGTTATCTCAAAAATTTTATATGCTAAGATATTAAACAGAAGTTATGAACAATTTGATATAAATCATTCATGTCTGTCTACACATTCAAGTATCCCAATTCCAAGGACATGAACATAAAACATACAACTTCTGATGCAAAACATTATGAATTGGTATAAGTACAAGAGTATACGTACAAAGACTTGTATGAAATATGCACACCATTGCCAAGACTAATTGTTGCTCTTGCTGCAAATTGTAGCAATATGAACATTGCCCAAATTGCTCATGAACATTGGCCAGTTTGTCCCTTAGAGGCCACCACTTAAACAAACCTTATTATTCAAAAAAATACATACAAAATTAATATAACAATGACAAACATAAACTCAATCTAAAATAATAAAATTTAAAAACCATTAAGTAAAGAGAAAGTGTTAAAATGAAAATTCAAAACAGTTTATTATAAATAACAATTAACAGCACAAATATATCTTAATGAAACTTTGCTAGTTGTAGAAAATTGAGGTTGTCATCGTTGTCAAGCAGTTTAAAAAAGATAATAATTAAATTAAGATATGTGTTGTGGTACTTTAAAAAAAATTATGAAATTTAGATCAATAAAAAAGAGACACGTATCAAGTTAAATAAATTATTATATATAATTTATTTAAAATTATATTATTTATATTATTTGTTACATAATCTTATTATTATTATTATTATTATTATTATTTAAAAAAAATTATTTTATTTTTTTATATTTTTTATAAAAATAAAATATAATTTATATTAAATTTATATAATAATAAATTATTATATTTATTATTTTAAACCAGTTGGAAAGCGGTTAAATTTTTAAATAAGAATAAGATACAATTAAAATTAAACTAATTAAAATTTTAAAAAATAATATCATATTAATATATTTTTATATTCTTAATTCTATTATTATTAATATTTAAATATTTAATTATTATATTAATATATTATGTTATAATTATTTTTTATTTATAATAAATAAAATTACTTAAATATAAATTATATTTTATTTAAAAAATAAAAAAATTATACTAAAAGTGATAAAATAAAATAAAATAAATATATATATATATATAATAAGACTGTGTAACAAATAATATAAATAATATAACTTTGAATAAATTATATATAATAATTTTTTTTTGCTTGACACTTGTTTTTTTTTATTGGTCTAAATTTTTTTAGATACAATACCTATAAAAAAATTTTAGGATACCACAGAATTTACCATTAAATTATTCTCCCATTCTTGTTAATGACTTGTTGTTTGAAGGCAAAACCATAATTGTATCAAGTTTCAAGATTAGCTTATATTAATCCAACATATGAACATGGGAAACTGTGGTGCAATCTAAGCAAATTTTGGTCGTCTACTAAAAGAACAACATATAGATCCAAAAGAAAAGCATAAGCTGAAAAAATGGTAAAATATATAGCTACAAACAAATATTTCAACAAAATTAAACTATGTTGTTTCTAAAAGAAATACAACATTGTTAGTTTTAATGGCATAGACTATTTTGAACTTAATAGGAATCCTCTTTAAATCTTATGATGTCCTTAAATATTGTGGGAATAATGCTCCACAATTATCATATTGTATAAAATTGAAACAAAAATCTTAGCTATTCACTGTATTCTTGAACATGCAATAGTTAATATAAGACCACCAACACCTTAAAAATAAAATAAAATTACTGCCAAACACAACAACATTGATTTGATGTGCTCAACTTTGACCTTAGAGAGAAACTCTTCACTACTCTAGTTCCAACGCCATCCAAGTTAATATTTGGTAGCATACTTAAACTTTAGAAGATGAGTTTTGCTAAAATGAAAATGAGAAAAAGCAGGAAAAAAACAATGGCAACTGATTGGAAAGTAGTGGCTAACGGCGAGTTTCTCTCTAGCAAAAGAAAATGAAAACAAAAAAATAAAAGTTTTGAAATTTGGAAAGAAAGCCATGTTCAAAAAGAGAATTTGAGTGGGATGAGAAACAACATGAAGAATAAGTAACATGGTAAGTAGAAAAAATAAAAAATGAAGAATAACATGAATAATATGCATAGAGTAATTTCACATCTAGTGATGAAGCTTCTGTATTGTAAAGCATATAAATACGAAGAGGTTAATCTGCATTATAATATTAGAAATGGTTAATTAATTAAGAGTACTTAAAAGTTTTATTTATTTCTATAGAAATTTTATGTGTTTATGACAAGAGTTGAAAATGTTTTTATATCTTTTTAATTTATTAAAATAAATCATATAAAAAATAATATTTACTAATTAAAAACTTAATCAACGGCTATTTATTTACTCAAAGCCGGTTGATGAAATATGCACGAACTCAGATGCGAAAAGCACTTATTAGGGGAACGCTGAGTTACAACATAGATTACGATAGGATGCAGTGAAAATCAATTTTGGAGCGAAACCGTATTACGTATTGTGTGGTGCTACTGAAGAAACCTGCTCTCACTCAGATCTCGCCGCCTTTGCGATCGAGTTAGTAGTTTCTCTTTTCCTTGCAATTTGTTCTCGCATTTTGCGTGCCCTAGGCGCCATTTCTTTCTCTTTTGAATTGCCAAAGGAATCGATGGGAACGCGAGCTTGTGGAGACGAAGAGGATGAGGAGCTATTCGGTGGTGGAACCACCATTTCCGGCCAATCAGCCTCCACCAGCAGAAGCGCTGGCTTGCCGCCACCCGCCGATAACACTTTTCTCAAATTAAATCAACTTGACATTCACGCAGACGATGCTGGATCGCACGCAGCAGTTGCGTGAGTCCTCTCTAATCTCATCACCTCCTACCATGTCGTTTTGTTCATATCGTGCACAATGCTGTTTCGCCTTTCGATTTTATGTCTAGTCTATATTCTGAGTGTGAGTAAATTCATGATTGTTCTTCATATTCGCATGTTTCTACTGATGATTTCCTTTTATTATGCTTTTCGAAAAATTGAAAAGATTGGGAATGACATTTTAGGCATGAAATTGGCTTTGTATGTGTTAATTGTAAATGTCATTTATCTGTGTTTGATTTTGTTTTTGTTTAAAAAAATAATCCTCACCAGCTGTCAGTTTCTACACAGTAGCAAGAAGAAAAAGAGAGGACAACGTGCAGTTGGAGGTGATAAGAGTGGAAGAGGGCTCCGCCAATTTAGTATGAAAGGTTGCATATCTATCTCTTTTAACCAAATTGTTCTTTAATAGATAAAGTTCATTGACCTTTTTCTAGTTATTGATTTGGCCTTGCGAAGTTGCATTTAGTGTGCAGAGTATTCTAAATTGTGAAATTTCCAACAGTGGTGTTCAGATTCTTGTGCTTCTTAGATAGAACACTGTCACATTTGTAGGTCATGCTGATAAATTTCTTTATGCTTTTGCTTCTCATTTATTGTTGGTTGTCTCCAGTGTGTGAGAAGGTAGAAAGCAAGGGAAGAACAACTTACAATGAGGTTAGTTGGGTTACTTTATGTCAGTTTTTGCTACATTTAACTTAATTGCTTGCTTTTGTTTCTACGATTAAGTATATGACATACATTTAGAAGTAATGTATATCATAAAATAGAAGTTGTGTCGTTCAATTAATTTCTTAAATTTTTTTTAGGTACTAGTTATTATTCCTTATTTCCTAATCTGTTTCTTAAATTTAATGTAGTTTTTTTTTTATATCATAGGTGGCAGATGAACTTGTTGCTGAATTTGCTGACCCAAGCAATAGTGTTTTGTCCCCTGATCAGGTTTTTTTCTCCTTCATATAAAGAATTTAAATATTATCTGCTATTCACGGATTAAAGGTGTAAGATAAGTATTGTGGACTTATTTTTGAGGGGATGAACATTTTTCAGCAACAATACGATGAGAAAAACATTCGTCGAAGAGTCTATGATGCTCTAAATGTTCTCATGGCAATGGATATTATTTCTAAGGACAAAAAGGAAATACAATGGAAGGGTCTTCCTCGTACTAGTTTGAACGACATTGAAGAACTAAAGGTTTGTCCACAGCCTTGAGTTGTAAATTTTGCTCCAAGTGGCTTGTGCTTTCCCTGCAGTGATGTTCTGAGCTTATCCAAAATACAATAAAGGACCATTATAAACTCTGTAACTGTATTTGATTCAACAGACTGAGCGTCTTGGGCTCAGGAATAGAATTGAAAAAAAGGCAGCCTATCTGCAGGAGCTCGAGGGTCAAGTAAGTCCAGCTCACTTAAATTATTTAACACGGGAAGGAGGGGGAGGGAGGGAGGGGGGGGGGGGAGGAGGGATTGTGCACCTGATTCTCTCCATTGGAAATATGCAATTGCGAAAGACCCTGACAAATTACTTCTGTTTTGTAATGCTTAATTTTTGTTTACTGACTACTTGTATTATTATATGAAGTTCGTAGGTCTTCAAAACCTTATTCAACGAAATGAGCAACTATATAGCTCAGGAAATCCTCCCAGTGGAGGTGTATCTTTACCTTTTATTTTGGTACAGGTATACCATCATCTCATTATCGCCTCTTTTGGATATCTTTTCCAGTAGAAAAGGTTTTTCAATTTTTCGTTGGAGCTTCAATTTGTATCATAATTCTCATATTTTATATGTATCAATTTCCCACTTAGCATGCACTTAATCATTGGCTTGAGTTTTAAATTAAAAAAATGTTTATTCTGAAATTGGACCACACTCGAGCTGCATAATGAATTCACTAGAAATACTTTTCACTTTTTTTTAATATGTAGACATTCATTTGAATTTGTGAACTGAATGTTACTTCTAATATAAATTATATACTAGAATAATATTATCAGCTCATACTGTTAGCTTAGCTTACCTTTAGGTATTCTATTCTCGGTCACTCTTAGAAAGTTGCTAATTTTTAATATTAATGAAAAATCTACTCACCCTGCTGTGATTTGCAATTTAATTAATTTCATATCTATGGCTTTTTAAACTGTAGACACGTCCTCATGCAACTGTTGAAGTGGAAATATCAGAAGATATGCAGCTTGTTCATTTTGATTTCAACAGGTAAGAAAGCTTCAATTGCTTTACTTGGCAATTTTTATGAGTGATGACATAAATGTCTTTTTTTCCTGTATGGTGTCTTAATGTGAAAGATTGCCTAATTTAGTAGTGTCATTGTCAAGGAAGTCAAACTAGTGTATCCTATTTTGGTCAAACACCAAGGCACTAAAAATTTGAGTCAAGAAGTTGGGGGAGGTGGTTGTCGGGGCTAAGGTGCAAAGCTTTTGTCCCCATGTTGGGATATGTGTCCGCCACTTTTATCTATGCTTAATTTCTCTTCTCTCTGCAGTACTCCTTTTGAGCTGCATGACGACCATTATGTTCTCAAGGCAATGAAATTCTGTGAGAGACCACAGGGTGATAATTTGACACACAATCTTACTGATGGAGGTGAAGGTTCTAGCATGTCCGGCTTGTGTCAGTCACAGGTTCCTCCTTCAGTTTCAAATGTGTCCATTCGGCCTCCCTCATCACCACCGCTTCCTGGCATATTAAAGGCAAGAGTCAAGCAAGAGCACTAAGATGCAAGTTTATCATATGGTCTTGCCTTAATCATGTCTGTATATTTTGTAAAGAAATTTGTCGAAGTTGATAGACCTTCATAGTAGTTACTCATCAGTAGAGCCAAGTCATTCTGTAGGTTAAAAGCTGATCAGTCTGTTTGCTTTTTTGTGGTTAGCGGTAGTCAATGGCAAATTCTTCGTTCATCATGTGTCATTTATTACCTTAACTGATTTTTTGTTTCCCTACATATATTTTCGCTGTAATTTTTTCCCCTTTGTAGTTAGACAGAAATCGGTTTGTACTAGTCCTATAGATCATAGAATGGAATCCAACAGCATGGGATTAATTTTGGAATTCGCTGATTTATAGTGCAAACTGTAAACTTTTCCAGCTAAGTTGGTATCTGGACCAATGCATCTTATCTTGCTTATTTCGTAGCATTTACTAGGGTCCTCTTGAGATAAAGGATCATTTTCTTAAATAAGTGAGACTTATTATTCAACGTGTCTGATGCAAAATTTTTAGGATTGCATTTGATTTGGTATTCTTATTAAGTATATCGTTAAGATATCAAATAATTTAGTATGTCTGTTTGGATACTTGATTGGACGTCATTTCCACAAATGCTCGACTCCGCATTTACAGAATTATAATTTTTATCTGCAGGCTATTGTAAGTAACTAATTCAAGAGGAAATTCGGAGCTCAGATGCTTCATAACAGTTATAATACAAGGAAGTTACAAAATGCGTCAACATTTTCTTATTAAAATAATAAAATTTCGGGCTTAATTAATAAAAATAGAGAAAGCAAGAACAAGAAATAGCCAGTATAGTAAGATAAGTGCTACGGTGTTCACTAAGTTGTGCGATATGTGACTTTTTAATGACGGAACTTGCAACTAGTCTTGAGCTCTTCTGCTGGCTTGTTCCCGGCGAATCCAGCGTCCACCCTCGCAGAGTAGCCTCCTCCCATGTTAACAATATGTTTAAATCCTTGCGTTTACCACATCGTATGTTTACGTGTTACGAAATTTCTTTTGCCAAGGCCCGGGACGAGCGATCACCATCAATTCGGAGCGATTTTTTTTACCCTTTAATTCTCGTTTACTGTGTCAAAAATTTCAATCACATTACTTTTCCCCCATAGGAAAGTTAGGGCAGGGGAAGTCTAAAATTTGCTTTGTAAAGTACGGTAAAATGCGAATCAAGGTTAAGAATTTAAGATTGAAGACTTACTGAACCAAGCAGAACAACGCGGCTTGGATCTCAGAGTGATCTTCCTCCACTATTGTGGATCTGGATCCTCTGCATGGGATGCAATGCATTTTTGTTTAAGCAAAAAAATTCGCTTAAGCAAATTTAGTTAAAAAGTGAATTTTTACTTAAGTTAAAAAATTTGCTTAAGCTAAAATTACAAAAGATTTTAAAACTTTATTTTCTTCCGCTTTAAACTACATAAAAGTTAAGAAATATTTGTGTAAGATCATGTAGTCACACTTTACGATCATACAACAAAAATTTAAGTGTTTTAAAACATATAATATCACAACTATTTCTCAACCAATTTCTCAAAGTTATCATTCCTATAATCCTTATCACCATTCTCAATAATTTAACTTGATTCTAAATGGTTCTACCTCACTAATATTTAGCACAAGTAGCACACTAGACAATACATTTAAAAATATTTGTACAAGATCATATAGTTAAACTTTATGCTCATAATATAAAAACTCAAGTGTTTCAAACCATGTAATATCACAACTATTTTTTAACCAATTTCTCAAAATTATCATTCCTATAATCTTAATCATCATTTCAATAATTTAACTTGATTCTAAATGGTTCTACCTCACTAATGTTTAACACAAATAACACACAAGACAATACATTTAAAAATATTTGTGTAAGATCCTATGGTCACATTTTATAGTCATAATACAAAAAATTAAGTGTTTTAAAACATGTAATAATATAACTATTTATCAACCAATTTCTAAAAGTTATCATTTCTATAATTCTTATTACAATTATCAATAATTTAACTTGATTTCAAATGGTTCTATCTCACTAATGTTTAGCACAAGTAGTGTAACACCCTTATTTTATTAATTATTAATTTTATACTTGATGTGAGTTGTTAATGCATGTTGCTTGAAATTAGGAGAGTTTTAGATGTGTGAGTTGCAGGATTTTTCGCTGTAGCGAGATGTGTCTCGTTGTAGTGAGAAATCAGCATCCAAAAACAAGCATTCTGGTGCTCTCTCGCTATAGCTAGAATCTTCTCGCTGTAGCAAGGATGCTCTCGCTGTAACGAGGAGCTCTTACTGTAGGTAGAATGACAGACAACAAAGTGTCATTTTGTCTGGTTTTTTCGCTGTAGCGAGAATTGGCTCGATATAGCGAGAATATTGCGAGTTGATGGGTATTTAAGGGTTTCCATGTTAAGAAATTTGGATTATATGACTTCTTTCCTCATTTTCTCAGCAAATCCTTGAAAAATCCCAACTTTTCTCCGATCAAAGTCTCGAAGATCACTTCCCTTTCTCTTTGGTAAGTTTTTTAAGCTTGATTCTCCATTCCTTTAGTTATTTTCTTGATTCTTCTTTTCTAAATGAGGTCTCTTGTGATATTTAGGAAGAACCTCACGTTTTGAGCAAGAATCCTCAAAAACCCTTTTACTAAACCTCCATTTCAAGGTAAGGAGAGCTCTATTTTGCTACCAATAAAGTGTTATGTTTGTATTCATGAAAAGGTTGTAATGAAATGCATGACTTTGAGTGTATTTTGGATAGAACGTCTTTTTGTTATGTTTGAAGCATGTTTTGTAATGTTTAATGAAGTGTATGATCATTGATTTGAGTGTATATACATGTATGTGGTGGACTGAGTCTGAGGGGACTAACTCTCGACAATGATTGAATGATGTATGATATAATAATAAAACTAGAGTAAAATAGAGAGATAAAAGTGTGAAAATATATTAGTAAACAGAGAATGAAAAATATAGAGATGAAATGGAAAAATACAGATAAAGGAAAATAAAATGAGAAAGGAATATGATAAGGATGAGTATAGATAATTCAGAGATACACTGGGAGTGTGGAAGAGGGAGAAGACTGAGAAGTCGTAGGGAAATGAGGGTGGTGGATGCTCCTCTTGAATTGCGCAACACAAATGAGAGTAGGAGCATCACAGGCCTCACACTCATTTTCTGACTAATACTCCTGATCATGCTTTTGCTAAAAGGGGCCGGGTCGGCACACTTTGTATCCTTGTAACTGCGGCTATCCAGCGACTATCTATAGTCGAGGGATCCCAGGGGCAGTGAAAGTGAAATGAGAACCCTGAGTATTAAGAGAGAGATGAAAAGTAATAAGCTGAACACTTAAAGATTTTTGCGTGTACATGAGTATGATTTTGTAACATGATTGATTGTTGTATGATCTTTGTTTTACTATGTGACAAATTGTGAATGTATACTTGGTAATATGAATAGAGACTCATCCTTACGTAAACCTTTCAGGGAATCTAGATGACAGCACCACTCGAGAACATTAGATTAGTAGATAGTTCTGTAACAAAGAGGTTGAACTATGTACTTAATGAGTACCAGAGACTTAGTTTCTTTAGAATTATTGTATATGATACTAAGGTACCTAGTGAGATGGTTATGTGGAAATGGAACTAGCCTTTAGTGTTCCTTTTGATTTCCCTGTACATAGAATCCATCATACTCTTTGTATATATCTTTCCTGGTACTGTGAGGACTCCAGCAGTAGTGACTTATCTAGTCACATATCATGACCATGATCACTTCGGGAAACCATCGTGATAGACATTCGAGCAGATCACGGGTACCCAGGTCACTCCAGATCCGGGTGATTTGTATCTTGGCTCGGATGATGATCTGGATGCGAAAGACATAACGTTAATAGAAGGTTGGCACGGGGATGACTAGTGTCACTTGGTTATATGATGGATAGACTGCTCATTAGGACTTATATTATTTTGAATAGATAGTCCTAATAATGTATTTTGGTAATTTTTATGAATATTTGTAATTATTGATATATTTTTGTATATTATGAGAACACTGAAGGACCATGATATTTTGATGTTTTTCTTAAATTGATTTAATTATTATGATTTTATTATTCAAGCTCTTGTAATTGTTTAGAAACAATTGAATGGAATATATTATTATCATATTATTATATTTGTTTAATAACATAACTTCACTAATTTCCTATGTCATTCCGAGTTTATACTATGATTACAAAAAAAATAAAATTAAGGTATTACAAGTAGCACACTAGACAATACATTTAAAATATTTGGTGGGATAAAAAATGTAAGATTCTAGATAGTTATTGATGAGAAACAAATGTTTCTTGAATTTTCTGCAGTTTAGAGAAGAAGAAGATGAAGTTTTAAAATTTTTCACAATTTTGGCTTAAGCGAATTTTTTAACTTAAGCGAAAATTCACTTTTTAATTAAATTCGCTTAAGCTAAATTTTTTGGCTTAAGCCAAAATTACGTTTTGTTAAATTTTGCTTAAGCGAAAAAATTCGCTTAAGCGAAAACACACTGCGCCCCCTGCAGTTCCCGCCAACACTGCAGAGGATCCAAATCCTACTATTGCAAGCCTGAATTTGTGATCCATTATCATACATCAACATTCATAATCTCTAGGTTTTATCTATTTCCTAATAAGAGAGGCACCTCGTGGCCAGTTATGATTTATGTTGTTTTATATTTAAGAAAATTAAATTAAGGTTGTGTTTGGATAAATTTTAAATTTTAGAAAATATAAAAAGAATAACAAGGGATGTTAGTGAGCATTAGGTATGAGAGGAGTTGAATGATAAATAAATAAAAAAATTAAGGATAATAGAGAGATTTTTAGATTCTGTCAAAATTAGTTATTTGAAATTCTTTTTATTTGACATAAAATTATTTTATTAAATTTTTATTTCATTTTAAAAATACTTTTTTTTAATATCCAAATACATGAATTGTGATCATTTTGAAATACCCTGTCAAAATACAACCAAAAATTTTCGGATTTCTAACCAGAATTAAGTGATCCTCATGCTTGCATATTGCTGCCACCTGGGCAACAAAATCTGGATTTTTCAACCGTCCTGTTCATTTGCAAAATTGGACAAAGAAAACAAGTGTCACTCGGGAAATGTTTGCTGAGTGAAAGGACTTGAGTTTCTTCGTAGATTATCGGTGCTCCTAATCAATTTAAAATAGAGAATGAAATTGGAGAAACTCAAACCCTTCGTTACCTCACATCGAGATACCTATAGCCAGTTGAATCCAGCAGATCATTGGCAGCGTGGACATCTACGCTTACAACTTTTTTATCACTGTAAACAGGGATAAAGCAGAATGAGTGTGAAAAGCCATGTTTTAAATGCATAGAATGGAGTGTAAACTAGCTTAAAACTTCTAAACAAATACTTGTATTTTATAAGAAAATAAAAATGATAAATTAAGAAGATAAAATGAATCAAAGTTTTCCATAAATTAAAATCAAGTTAGGTACCTCTTTTTTTCATAAAATTTCTCATTTAACTTCATTTTTTGAGGCATAAATTAATTTTATTTTAAGAAATAAGTTTGATTTATTTTCTCTCCTTGATTCTTCTTATTTTGAAACTCCTACTCCTTGGGGGCATTCATTCCTTTTTTCATTAAGTTTAGCGCTTAGCAGAGTCAATGAACACCAGAGACTTGTATGAAGTGTATTTATGCAATGAAATAAACTGCTATGCTTTGCTAAAGCCTGTGGTGTCACTAAAGTTGACCTTGTGATCGAAATTATTTTCTATGTTTACGAGTATTATCTAATATTCATTGACACAGCCACGGGTATGTGGCTTGCAAGCCACCTATGCAAATATTATGAAAAAATGGCAATATGCTCATAATTTTCATTTGTTTAACGTTTACTTAAAAAAAATTCTTCACTTTCTAATCATTTTCCACAATTGAAGGAAAATAGCAGTTGACTAAAATTTCTTTTAGGTTAAGCCACATATAAAGAGACAAGATAAAGAAAATGCTCAAGTTGGATATTCTTAAGATTGTTCTTTTGGATTTGTCTAAGTTTCTTCATGAAATAAGTAACTCCATCTTAAGTGAATTGATAAAGTAAAAATATCGTATTGAAAATTATACTTTTTACTTAATTTTATATACACAATCTTATTAACCTTCCTAAAATTGGATTATTTATCCGATGATATAAGTTAGACATTCCCTAATCTTAATCTTTTGCACATTAAACATCGCTCTTATATCATTACTTCAAATAAAATACTTGTGGATATTTACGTCAAACAAGATTGGGTTTTTTGCATTGCCAAATAAATTGTATATATCATTCCAGATGTTTACCTAATTAAATGCGTATATGCACTCTCATTTTAAGATTTTCAAAAACGCAATGATAGTGTTTAGATACTTGCATTAATTTAGTATTTTATTTAACGCTTACTTGAACACCTTGACATTAACAATATCTTTCATACAAAAAAATGCAAATTAAATAAAGATTTTGTTAAAAGACTGAGGATAAATAGTTAATAATAATAAAATTTTATTAAAAAGAGAAATATTTATTATATTTTTATAACTTTAATATAACAATTATATATTTTTTTTATAATTTTTTTTATTTGTAGATACTTAAACTCAATCTTAAAAGTTGAAGTTAATAAAACCTATTAAATAATTATAGTATAGTAGAGTCTCATTTTTTTTTTTACCTCACAATAGAGTTTCATATTTAGGTAAATTAATTTATTTTATAAATTTAATTTTATTATTTGTTTTTGTATTTTAATTTATGTATTATTTTGATTCCTTTAATTTTAGTTGCTTGCATTTAGTCTTCATAATTTTTTAATTGCTTAAATTAAGTTTTTTTCTCAAAATTTTATTTAAAAATTAGTAGATGTATAATAAATATTATTGATTTGTATAGTTCTTGCAAAGAAAAATAGATTAAATAATACAAAAATAAAAAATTGTTATATTTTATATATTGCTTATATTTAAATATTTTGCACAATTTTGATCAATGCATACAAATAACTAATGCATCACACTTTTCATACATTTCGATCAATTATTAGAGAAGATTTTGAGGTACGAGAGTTTATTTGAACAAATAACATTAAGAAGATTAAATATAAATAATTTAAATTAAAAAAGTAAATTTACACAAAGATTTAAATATATGATAAAAAAATGTGACTTAGCCTATTTTATACTCGAAATAGAATACAAGCAAAACTAAAATATTATACTAAGTATGGGGAAACTGAAAGTGGTTTTGGTCGGGAAAACTGAAGTGGTTTACTGGTAAAGATGGCAGGCCTATTTTTTTATGATTGGCTAACAATATACAATATAACTTGTTCAAGTTCATGGGCCATTGGCTGATGCGAGCAGGCCCAACTGCTCCATCTCCAAGCGTCGTTTTGCACACCAAGGGTGTGTGTGGGTTTCGATTCAGAACGACACAATACAATACACTGCGATTCATTCATTCCCCGCGTGATTCGTCGATCTGATTCGAGTGGTGTGATTGAATATAGGGTTTGGGAGATGGCGTCGAGTGTTTTGAGGAATCTCATGAGGTTTTCGTCATCGAAGAACACAAGCACGAGAAGCTTCAGCCTCGTAAGCTCACAAATCAGCAACCACACCGCCAAGTGGATGCAGGTACAACATTTCTTTCCGATTATCATCCATCATGTTATGCTATTGTAAATCACCTCATGTGTAATGCTCGCATATACCAAACTAAACCCCTCATGTTTGATTAAACAAGCTTTATTTTCAAGTTAGGATTATCACTTGTATTTATCTGTTACCTATTATTTATTTAAAATTAGTTATGCAATTTATTTAATAGAATTTTGTGAAATGTTGACGGTCATTGGCCCGGATTATTTAGTTTTAGCCACTGGTTGTTCCTCTTTCACTTTCATTATTGTGTTAGGTGTCAATTCGGTCTGATTTGTTCTGATATTTGCTGGAATTTGAAATTCTCGTGGATATCCATTGTATAAAATTTTGTTCTCTCTGATGTAGCCTCTTTGTACGTTATCAATTCCTATCTTACCACTTGTTTGAAATCGAGAATAAAAAGAAACATCTAGGATAGCTTAATCATCACACATGTACTCATCTTGGGGGAGGATGTAATAAAAGAATGTAGTAAATCGCTCTGGGTGGAAAATTTTTCTGTGCATCCTGAGGTTGAAATTTGTAAGGAAGAAATCTGCATTCTGAGGGCGGAAAACTTTAAGACACAAAAAGTGGGAATTGAAATTTTGAACATACCCTGAGAGGGAAGACTTTGGTGCATACTGGATGGCAAACTGGGTATTACTGTGGGTTTTCTCGTTTAGGGAATGGATTACTCTCCTTTCAGATCCATCCTGTTACTATTAGCTGATGTTGTCTGGTTCTGGGTCTTTGGGTATGTTTGGATAACTATATTTAAGCACTTAATTAATAAGCTCTTTTTAAATTTTTAAAATGATGACTTATGTCTTGAATTTATTGGTGAAATGAAATCTTTGGAATAAGCTTAAAACAACTTATTTTGATAAACTAATTCAAAAGCTGGAAACTCATATGCTAGTACACTTGCCCTATATGCCCCATCTCCATGAAAGTCTTAGCCAGTGCTTCTTTCCGCCTTCCAACTTAATAGATTCTCTCTATCTCTATTTCACTTTCAGGGGTGAGTATTAAAACGCCATAGGAAAAGAAAGGGGTTAGCTCTTAGCTCGCTGGTAGTACTGATACAATCAATATGTACACACATATTAGGAAACTAAAAAGCAGAAAGATCCTTTCAAAAAGGGGTTGGATACTCACACTCGGGAACTTTTTCCAATCTCTCTTCAAACTTACCTTTTCATTAAGGTTAGAACCTTCCTAAAATTCTGGAGTTTCCAGCTATGCCGCACTCTCAAATCCACTCATAAAAGCATAGCGAGTCTTTCTTTTCTTCCTCAGTTGTCGAGGAGTCAGCCTTTAACGAAGAGGAATGATGCCATATCTACCATATAATGAGTTCATTAGTATTTTATATACATAAGAAAGGGTGTTATTTCCCATCTTTTTAGCATTGGATCTGCTTTCAAAGAGAGAGTTAACGTAGCCCTTGAATGGACTTTCCATCTCCTCGAAGAGGTATCCACACAATGGTAATATAGTGTAGCCTATCTCTCTTGCATACTTGAGCTCCTCACTATAGTAAACCCCAACAAAGGTGCCTGTTGGAAAGATAAGAGTGCCATCCTTATTCCGATAGGGAAGAAAGGGTTTCTTTATACTCTTAGGGCATTCAACATAAGCTTCAATGTACCCAAACATGCTATCTAATGGAATGGTATCTAAATCAGAATGCCAGACCGGTATACCCTCAGACATTGGGAATTCCTTCATAACAAAAGGATAGAGAGAGTTAACATCATAGTAGTATAAGTCTTTCCCGTATGGAGTGTATGTGTCAGTATGCCCACCGTAATATCCACTTTTTAGTTCTTCTGTAAAGGAAAGGGGCTGGGAATCACTACTATTACTACTAAGGGACCAAAAAGCCTTTCTCGTTTGTCATGGAGAACCTTCCTGGGCTCTATCTCTACCATAGACTTAGAATAAGCGGGACTAGAGGACAAAGTATCGAGAAGAAAAGCCTTAAGAGCCAAGACCTACTCCTAAATCAGCAGAACTATGGATGAAGCAATAACTCTCATCCTACAGACATCCAAGAAATCGCTGTCTAAAGCCAATGATTAGTGAGCAAGCAAGCCAAGCCGCAAGGAAAGGGTCACCGAAGTAGGGGACCGCAGCTAGCAAAGTGAACCGTTAGAAACCGGGGTATAAATAACAACAAATCAGGCATGAAAGCCAAGTGAAGTGACCAGAGGGTTAGGGTGCGGTGCCAATTCTTAAGAAAGGATATTCAATGAATGGTCCGGGAAGATAGGGCTTCTAGGGCGCCTTTTCCTTAAGCATTTCTTTCTCCATCTAAGGTCAGGGAAGATAGGGAAAAGAAAAACCGCTTTCTTATCAATTAGAAGGAAGAAAGAAGGAGCCGCTCGTCCCGGGAAACGAACGAAGTATGCTTTGGTGAGCGAGAAGCTGCCAGGTATAGGAGAAGGGGCGGTAGGCTCAAAGGAGGCGGCTCAAAGGAGGCGGCTCAAAGGAGGCGGCTCTTCATTCTTTTCTATTCCTGCCGCGGTCAATCATCATAAAGGACCTATGCTGTCAGGACTGGTTTCTAACAAGCGAAGAACTTTTTCTACTCTATTTATTCTTTCAATCCAGGTTCTTATAGAAGAGCTACAACGAGACGACATGAACACTAAGATCACCGACGAAATTGAATTTAACTCCATCAATCAATTCAATGATGAATTGTTTATGTGTGCCACCTATAACGAAATAAGCACAATCAATGAAGGCTGCGCGGTGTGCGCTTAGCACCCTTATTGTTAGGTTAGTGTTAGAACGCTTCGCTTCACTAGTTACTACAGTTGTGTTCTTCCTAGGCTGGTTGAGTGCGCCTAGAGCTGTGCTGACTGAGCCGCTTCTCGCTTTACCCCCCGGTGCCCACAAGGTTAGACTGCTGCGATGCGCAATACCTGCCGATAGCAGGAAGGGCTTTCTGGTTGGTAACGTAACAAGTGCCCTTCCTCGGGAGGTTTCCGAGCGCTTATGTGTACGAGCCTTGAGTCCGCTCCAACCATCCCACACAATCCTGAGTAGGCTCATAAACTTATTGAAATAATTTGAAAACAGCTTATGAGAGTCAGAAGTTATTTTTTATTAATAACTGTCATAAGTTCTTCCAAACAGGTCCTTTGTTATCTTTTATGCTTTAAAATAAAGAAAATAAGATTGAAATACTTTTGTCAGTTAATGGCAGTATTTCTTTTTCAGTGGCTCCAACATCATGTATGTTACTTTGTTAGCAAGCTTAGCTTATAGAAGTTGGTCTCCAGGCCTGTAATCTTAGCTTATTCCTGCATACAAAATTGTCCTCAGGAAGTTGTGAAACTTATATTTGTTTCTTCTCGCTGTAATAGGATACAAGCAAGAAATCTCCAATGGAGCTGATTAATGAAGTTCCTCCTATTAAGGTTGAAGGCAGGATAGTCGCTTGTGAAGGAGGTATGTACAACTTTCTAAAATTTCTAGTCTCTCTTCAAACATGCACAAGATTTAGAAAAGGAGATACAAACCTTATATGTATAGTTTCCGGCTAAAAATTGATGATTATATAGGAGAGGGGTATAACTAATTTGGATATTGCTCCGTGGTTTCAGATACCAATCCGGCCCTTGGACACCCAATTGAATTTATATGCCTTGATTTGGCTGAGCCAGCTGTTTGCAAATATTGTGGCCTGCGATATGTTCAGGATCATCACCATTAGGACATGCTTTCTACAAGTATTCTGGGGTACATGTATGGAATTTCTGCTGAACATTAATGTTTCTGGTTACGATGTTTTCTGACTAAATCATGGTTTAAAAAATATACTGTTGCAATTTACCAAATAATAATATGCCAACATTGTTAATGTTACCATCTGCTAGTGATCCGGTGTTACATTGTGCTGTGTGCAGAAGTAATAATTTGTAAGAGACTGGAAGTACAGCTTCGTTTAGCAATCTATTTTATATCAGTAATTCCTAAGTTGCAAGCTCCTGATAACGCTAGTTTTTACGAGGCAAAATACGAATGTAAGAAGCAAACCTTGAAGGGGTTAGACAGCTAGCTCATTTGCGACTCCAAATTAAAGTAATAGGTTAGGCTTAAATGGATTAATTTATGGGTATAGTTCCTGGTTGTAAGATATTATCGTGGGTTAGGGTTTTATTTTTTATTTTTTTTCCTGCAAAAAACACCTAAAGATTTATATAGCTCAGTAATCAAAATAAAGCATAAATCTTGAATAACAAAAATAAAAAATCACAAAAGTTTTTTAAATTACTACCATCTACTTTTATAAGCCAATAACTGCCGAGTTTCAATTTCGATAGCTGCGAGTTTTGTGTTGATAATATTGATGGTTTGATCCTCCATTAAACTACATACCCTCGTACTCCACTTGAGTGCATATATATTCAACAACAACGACAATAATAAACCCACAATAATATTACTATAATTAGTACGACAGGAAAAAATTAAATTGAAAAATTGAACCTCTCCTCGGCCACAGCAGTGTAAACTGATGAATTTTCAAGAAATACAATCATGTGGGACCAAAAAATAATAGTCACGTAAGTTCCAATGATAGTATGAAACTCTAGTGTATGGTCAGTGGCCAAGGGAGAATAGAACTTTTAACTCGGAAGCAAAACCTGAATCATCTGTTACATTTAGTGATGAATATTGAATATTGATTATTATCAGCCGTAAAATTCCAAAATCTTCCCATCAATTGGGGAAATAATTAAATGACAGCATGCACAGAACAGAATGCCAGGAGCCAACCCCACAATACAAGGGTTTCTGGCAAAATCTCTAAACATCCTCATGCACTAGCTTTATCAGTAGCTGCCAATTTCCTTCTCTGTTGATGCTCTGCAAATTTATAATCTACCACTTCACGGAACAAGCTTGGGTCAAGCACACAGTTTTCACTTCCATATACAGCAGCTTGAACACTTGCCATCAGTTTCGCTATTTCCCTTCCAGAAAATCCCTCAGTTTTAGCTGCGGCTTCCTTTATGATATCATCAGTCAATCCCTTAATCTCTATCTGTTGTGGTTTTCCTTTGAGCATATTTTGAATTAAACCAGATTTTCTTGATCCAGCTTGGGCTATGTACTTATCCAGATAGAGCTTAAGAAGTTTGAAGCGCTCCTCTTCACCAGGCAAGGGAAATTCTAGGACCTCATCAATTCGGTCTGCCACAGCTGAATCAAGATCACCAGGACGGTTTGTGGCAAGAGCAAGAACTATGTCTTTAGACTGGTCACCAGTTCGGAAGAGAAGCGCATTTAGTGCACTTCTTTGTGCTTCACTCATATAGGTCTTGTTACGCCTGCAAAATTCATCCAACGCAATGAATCCAAACAATTTTCATGCAAAAATGTTAGTTTCGTATTATGTTGCATATTAACTTTTTCTAACTTTCATCCCTTTTCGGAGCTTTTTTTTTTTAATTTTAAAAAAGCAATAAATATGATCCTAGAGTGATGGACTGCATCTAGCTGCACTAATAGAGTATGGCATTTTTTTACCCCTTGGACAACATTCCAACAGTGTAACGACTCGCTTGTAGTAGCTCAATGCGTGTTTTAAAAATATGAATGTCAATCCAAACTCACTCTTAATCATGCCAATGAGTAAAGAGAAGCGCAACAAATGAAAACACATGGAAGAAGTATTGCTTACTCGCACAGAAATGCATCAGCTTCATCAATGAAAAGCAATAAACCCTTTTTTGATTTCTTAGCCCAATCAAACAACTGGTGAATCTTTGTTACAGCCTGTGATCCCAGTGGAGCAACATCTCCTCCAGTCATCAATGCATAATCTAGTCCCTTCATTAAATTGAAAAGTACAAATTAGATACAATAACAATAAAGTTAAAAAATAAAATAAACTTGATGAACAGAGTCAACTGATCAGGATAAACTTTAAGTTTCATAATAAAACATGCAATTGCCAGAAACATGGCACTGAATATCAATTCAAGTACTGAATTCAACACAAACAAGAATTTGAAATTATGAATTTTGGAAGTTATGAGGAAAATTAATTTATAGAGCCTTTAAAACATACTTTCGGATTTTTTATGTAGGCAGCAAAATTTATGAATGGGAAGATAGAAGAAATCAGAAAAATGTGAGGATACTTTTGCTGTTATGTTGATGATATATACATGAAATACAAAGCATAACATATAATTAAAAATTCTCCAGAAAATTGGAAAAACCAAAGTTTGAACAATGCACCTATCTATTTGATCCATGTACAAAAATGGTATATTGTCTGACATACTTAAAATCTAGACGAACAAGATAATAGATAGATAGATAGATAGAGGTGTAGAATCATACAGATTTACTAGCCAACTCCCTGGCAGCCATTGTCTTTCCTGTTCCAGGAGGCCCATAAAAAAGCATGTTTCTGAATGGTGCCTGATGTGCTTTTGTATTCGCAGTTGCAGATGCCAGCTGCTCAATTCTTTTCTGAAGAGATGGGTGCAAAATCACATCACCAAAACCACTTCCATTTTTGGAAGCAGATCCTGGATCAGTGCGTCGAGACAGGGAGGTCATGGCACGAGAAAACATGCCAGACCATGGGTATTTCCCTCTGGAAGACTCTCGAATCAGTGATGGTTGTCCCAATATTCTATCAATATATCCCCAAATTACTCGTGCACCTTCCCTGCATTAGACAAAACAGACCTATATGAATATACACAGCATAAGCCATGACTACACTAATAGCAAGTGATAACCATAACACACAAAGTCCAACACAAGTATAAATTATACAACTCTAGCATGCAAATTCTACGACATAACAAATAGCCTGATATAGAAAGGGGAAAAAAGAAAATACATCAAAAATGAATAAGACTGGAAAAATAGTATATGATATATCTCATCAATACTATTTTTCCTTAATTTAATCATTTTTAAAACAAAAAGGAAGGGTAAACAATAGTATCAATAATCAGTAACTGAATTGTTAGCTTATAGATACAGACTGAAAGGCTTGTCATGCCATATACTTCTAAAATCAATTGAAGAACAGTCCTTTAAGGAATTAGCAGCTCATTGTAAGCTTTCTTAAGAACATATACCTCGTTGTGTAGACCCCAGCTGCCAGAGCAGTCACTCCACCAACTGCTACAACCAACTTATTTTGATCTGTTAAAATGGCTCTTAAGCCCCCTGCAACAAAGAGATCAAGTTTTTTAACTTGCAGATTGGTATAGAGCTCATTTAACCCAGACAAGCAAAAGATACTCACGTTAATCAAACCAATTAAGCTGAAATACATCAGGCAATGAGAATTAATAAGTCATGTGTAATCCATATAAAATGTTTCAGTAAGTAAAGTGGAAATGGAGGAAAAAAAGCAATCCTCAAATTACAATATTGTTGATTAACAAGGAAAGTTATAGGCTCTAGATAAAAAGCTGAGAGTTTCACCCAGTAAATGACATTATAAAAGTAAAAAGGATAAAATAACATGTTACCATAAAAATTCACATGAAGTTACATTTTAAAACCAGCATATATACAAGATGATTAGTCCATACACTTAGAAACCACAAAAGAATAAACATAGAGGTGGTTGTTTTCTTCTTAGATAATCAACTTTGCATATCATGCATTTAGTAGATATGTACCTCCAATATGGTCGAAGGTTGTATTTATGGCAGCAACCCATTTTTCTCGCTCTGCGTTAGCACGATCAACCAACATTCGCCTGTTAACCTCTTCAGCTAGCTTTGCTTCATGAGCTCTTCCTTCTGCTTCTGCCATAGCCCTTACCCTGATTGTTTCACGTTCAATTTCAGCCTTTTCTCTTTCTGTTTGCCTTCTTTGTGCTTGAATTTGCTCTTCGGTTGCACGGCGAGCTTGCTCCTGTCTGATTGATGATTCTTCTTGCATTTTTACTAGCTCTTGGTTCCTGGCTCTCTGGTATTCATTTTCTGCCTGACAGTAATAATGCAAGAATGAGAAACACTCATAAAATGACAAAATATAAATCCCAAGTTTCAAAAGGTTTAATACCTGCATCCTCTTCCTTGCCAACTCATCTTCATATTTAGCCATTTGGGATTTTGTTTGCGCCTGATGCTGAGCCAGCTTTTTTTGTTCATCATATATAATCCTTTGCCTTTCCTGCAAAGCAAACCACCAGAAAACAAATCACAAGACAACAATACGAGATATCCCGAAGTAACAAAGAACAAAGCCAAAAGGCTACAGGCAAATATTCAATTGTTCAAGGACATAATTGCAAAGAAACAGGATTCTGAAGACATGAATTTCACCTTGCAGCAGCTAGAATTTACCAAGCAAGGGAAATTATTTCTTACACAAGCAGACAACATCAACTCACAATAATTAAATATGGCTATGATAGACACAGGACAGAGTAAAAGTAAAAAATTAATAAATATAATAATTGCCATAAAAACAAAGCATAAACTAATTAAAAGCAATGAGAATTAAGTAACTTACAGTCTCATGCTGTGCTTTCATTTGTTTAAACTCAGCAACCTTAGCAGCAAGTTCTGCTTGCTTTGTCTCCTCTTGCTTTTTAATGGCTTCAAAGACCTATAACATAAGAGACAAGTTAAAATCAAACTGACCCACAAGAGTAAGAGTTGAATTGAATGCGGGAAATGGGTATAAAGTTGAAACCTTTTTGCCATGGGATGAAGAAGCAATTTCCTTAAGAGCCTTAACACCTCTCTCGAGGGCTTCTGGATCAAACCCAGCAGAGGTGGTCCTTGGATGATCGTTTCGAACCTTGGGCGGCGTCGAAGAAGATTGAGTTTCATAAGCATTTGAGGTAGACCCATCTGCATAAACATTCTTCTGATTCTGAGATGCAGTAGCAGCGGCAGCTATGGCCGACAGCAATCCCGCTGCAAAGGTTTTCGCCATTGAAGAGGTTTAACTCAGCCTCTCAACATTCCGAGGTTTTGGTAGGGTTCCGCACCAAATGGATCCAACTCTTTGGAGCTCCGACTCGATCCATTCTAATGCTAATGGGTATTTTTAAATTTTATTGCAAAAGAAAAAAATTATTGTTAATTATTCTTATAAATTTTTTATGAAATTATCGGTCATTGATCAAATGCACTCAAAAGAAACAAGGAGTAATGTTATTTGTAATTTTAGAAAGAAAAAAAAATTAAGTGTTTGTTTTATATTTAAAATGTGTGTTTAAAAAAATAATAAAAAATAAATAAAATTACATACGGTATGTTATGTGTCATGTCATATCTTTAGTTTGATAAGTATAAAAAAAATTCTTTTTTTTAGGAAAAAAAAGCCTTTTTTTAATAGACTTATTAATAAATTTTTACTTGAGATTTATTAAAATTATGAAAAGTATAATTATAACTCACTAAATTTAAATCAAATAAATTTGATGACTTTTAGTAACTTTTATTTTATAATAAAAATTATATTAAAAAATATTACTAATATAAAAATTTATTATATAGATAAAAAATTAAAATACACATAATTATCTTTTTATATATGTATTTATTTAATTTATTTAAGTAACATATTTAATTTAATTAGACTTTTTAAAAGGTCTAATTAATTGAATAGATAATATTTTAGCTTAAAAAAAGTTTATTAAGCTTGATAGAATAGTCTATTTAAGATTTATAAAATTTATAATATTATATTAAATAATTATATATATATATATAAATTAATATAATATTATATTAAATAAATTTAATTTTAAAATAAATAAAATTTTGAATTAAAAATTTTAATCTTTTTTGTTAAAGAAATGCTGATGTACATTTATTTGCATTAACATTGCTTGATTTTGTTATATGTTTAATAATTTATTTATTTAAATCAAATATATTATTTGAAATAAATAAATAAAAATATATAATTTTATTATAAATATTGAAAGTGTTAAACTATTTTTCTTTTTTGTTATTGTTAAACTATTTTTTTATAATTTATCTAAATATAAGTTTTATAATTTTTAAAGAAACATACTTATTTTTATGGTTTAATAGTCTTTTTATAAAAAGACTTAATAGTTTATTAAAAATTTTAATGAAAAGTAGGTCATAAAAAAGATTTATAGACCAAATCAATCTTCTAAATATTAAACTTTATTTAATAAAAAAATTATAACAGATGATAAATAATTTAAACTTCAAATTTATTAAATAAAAGATAACTATTTATAGAAAATCTAACATAAATTACCTTAGATAAAATGTAAATATTATCTATTATCCTTTACAAGCAAAGGAGTAACAAAGAATGAGCAGTATTGAAAAACATAAAAAGAAATGACAAACGGCGAAAATTTTTCATTTGGCACAAGCATTACAAAAATGCATGATTATAGAAGTTAATTATTTACATTGATTGGAATTGCTCGAAGTGGTTTAGACTTTCGTAGGGCCATTCCAAATTCTTCCTTATCAATATCCTCAGGTTTCATATCATTTTCAAGCTTCCAATCAAAAACATTAATCAATGAACCCAACATCAAGAACAACACCCTCATCGCAAATGGTAAGCCAGGACACATTCGCCTTCCAGCACCAAATGGTATCAATTCAAAATGTCGACCTTTAACATCAATATCTGATCCTAAGAAACTCTCTGGTGTAAACAAATTTGAGTTGTTCCATATACTTGCATCCCTACAAATAGCCCACACATTGATTAGGAGTTGTGAACCTTTTGGAATGGTGTAGCCAGTGACTTCTACATCAACATTAGCTTTTCGAGGGATTAAGAATGGCACTGAGGGATGTAAACGGAATGTCTCTTTTACTCTTGCTTGTAAATGTGGTAATCTAGCAATGTCCGACTCCTCAATAGGGTTACCCTTTCCAATGGTTTCCCCAAGCTCCCTTTTGGCTTTTGACATTGTCATTGGATTGCAAAGTAGCTCAGTCATTGCCCATTCTATTGTAGATGTAATTGTATCGGTTCCAACAACAAATAGTGTCTAGCAGTTAAATCAAAGAAACCAAGTGTGAAAATTAATTAAACAACGATAGTTTTACATCTTTCTTTCTTTACTTCTCATTCTCACTTACTTTTTTTTTATTTATTTCTATTGCATCACCTATCATATCTTTTACATTTTCTTTCTTCCTTCCTTTATTTCATCTTTCTTTTTCTTATACCCAAACAACACCTTTTAAGAAGTGTCAAAACATCATCACCGTAAACTAAATTCTGCCTAATTAACATAAAAATGGAAATGGCTTTAATACGTAGCAGATAACTGTGATTGCATGCACTACAAAAAATAGGCAGAGAAAACATACCAACATTAAATGTTCAATGTTTATTTTCTCCATCTCTTGCTATTCTCTTGAGACATGCTCAGCAAGGTTTCTAACATGTCATTGTTGGTGTCAAAACCTGTTTCCAACCTACGCATTCTCAGTTGATTAATCAAGTGGTGGAAGACCTCCAACACCTTCCCAGCATTAATAGTGTTGCGGCTTCTAATGCCTTGAGGATCAAGCATCTTCAAGGCAGGGAAATAATCTGCCAAGTTTGGTTTCCCACCCTCTTTCATGATTTTGGCCACTAACTCCTTAAAATGTTCCGCTTTACCTGAAGAGTTAACCAAATCAACAGAAAAAATAGAGTTTGACAATAAATTTATACTAGTCTTAAAGGCTTCCCTTCCAATATCAACAGCTTCACCAATTATACTACTTTGATGGACATCACTGAGGAGTTGTTGCACTTGCTTGCGCCTAAGGTCTTGGCTAGCATCAATAGTTTTGTTGGATAATAATTGATTATTGCAAATCCTCCTAAGGGCACGCCAAAGAGAGGGGGGGGGGGGGGGGAGAGGGGGGATGGGCATGAAGGCGATGCTATGATGATGGTGATTGTGAACTGCGGCAGCCTCAGGAATGGTGCGGTTTGATAGAAACTGATCATGGGTTTGGAGAACCAATTTGGCCACATCAGCTGAAGAGACCACTATAGTGGTTAATCGTCCCAACTTTAAGGTCATTATCGGACCATGAACTGTTGCAAGTTTGGCGGCGGAGTGATGAGGGTTTTTGCCAAGTTGAAGGAGGTTTCCGATGATGGGTAGGGGAGAAGGTCCCGGCGGAAGGTTGTGGATGGGTTTGGTGGTTCTTGCAAGCAGTGAACGGAGCGCATGAACAGTGGTGCAAGTCAACAAAAACATCAGCGCACAGCTTAGCAAGTCCATCACTTTAGGGTGGAGAGTGGTGTGAGGTTAATGGTGCAATGATGCAAATAGAATGCTCCTCTCAAAGTTTTTCCTTTTTAAGAAAAGCTTTTTTTTATATTTAAGCAGATAGTTATTTTGAAAGATCATTGTCATTGTTAAATGAAAATTAGTCTAACTGTGAGGATGTTTATTAGGAAATTTTACCAATTATACTAGGAAATATGTAAGGATTTGTTTTATTTTTATTAAATTAATTTATTTTAAAATATAAAATATATAATTTAAAAATACAAAATATATAAATATAGATGTTAAATATAATTACATTGAGTAAGATTATGAAATACTTCCTTATATACAATATTTTTTATATATCCTATATATTTGTCATCCTCTTTAATAATAAGAATTTTTATTCTTTTTATTGACATTACTCTAGACAATGTAACATATAACGACCATAATTAAATATAGGTTTTAGTAAATATAATCCAACATAATTTAACGATTGTTCTTAACTTTTGTTTATTGTCATTGCATAACATATCTTTATTGGAAATTATTAAAAGAAAAGGCCACTTAGAGTCACTTGATGTTAAAACTATATGCGGAATAAGTATTTTAGCACCAATGTTACTTCTTGTAATTATTTTTTCTTCAGTTATCTACTCTCTTAAATGTATGATAAGGATTGTTCTATTGCACATTACTAATGCGGGATTGATGTTCCTAAGTAGCATAATTGGCATTTCTTCTACAAGTTGCAAGCAATGGGGAGAAAATACATTGAAATTTAAAGTATTCAAGAATTTTACAGGATACATAAGCTTTTGCTCAGTTATTTTATTAGTTGCTTTGTCAATCTCGCCAGAGCTTCTGTAATACTTTATTGATCATTCAACCATGTTTATGATATAATTATTAATATCATCAACAATGTCATTTAAAGGAGTAAGTATAGCTATCTCTTGAAGGTATTTTTTATCCCACATTTATTGTTGAAAATTTAGATATGTGCTTTCAAAAATTTGTTTGAGTGAATCTTCCATTGACTTGAATAGATATTGGCTTGGAATTTTTATCCACATGGAAATTTCTTCTCCTTCTTTACTAATTGTTAGTATATTTCCATCTCCAACTTGTATGAACCATTTATTAAATTCATGTGCCAAGGAATTTTCTTGACTTGAAGAGGAGTTGTTGATAATTCTCATACTTTTGGATAACATATAAATTTTGCAATGATCCCATAAATAAGACTTATTAATGCATGCTTGAACTATGTCTTGTCATCGTCCTTTTTGTATTACGGGTAATATCTGTCTAAAATCTCCTCCAAGAAGTATTGTTTTTCCTCTAAATGGCTTAGACGTACTGTTAGGATATTTATAACCAACAACATCTTTGAGAGACTTATCAAGAGCCTCAAAAGCCAATCTATTTATAATTGGTGTTTCATTCCAAACAATGAGATTCTGTTTGAATTATTTGTAACACCTTAAATTTAATTTCAATAAAAAAGGAATTTCACAAATTTTTGAAATAATAAAATTTCTATTTTTAATTCAAGTTTCATCAACCATTTCAAATAAAAAAAATGGTACAAATTATATTGAACAGTTGCTACAGGACTTATTCAAATACAACAGTTTTCAAAATAATATATTTAAGTCCTATAACAATTCCATCCACCTCTTCACTGAGTCTGATGTTGATCGTCTTAATTACCTGAAAAATGAATGTAAGGGTGAGTACTCTACACTACCCAAAAACACAATCAACGTAGAGT